GTCGGGCCTGGGCCTGGCCGGCTCTGGGGAAGGGATGGGCCCGGTGCCCACCCCCGGGGGGGCTCTGAGCAGGGAAGACGTCGGCAGGTGGGAACCGGGCCATTGAGCACAGATGTTTGTTTCTGTCTCTCGGTTCCTCAAAAGCCTCCCAGGTCCCCGGGGCAGTGAGCCTGGGGGTCCCAGGGGTGTGACTCAGGTCGCTGGCTCGATGAGGTGAGGCAGCTGGGTTCCCTGGCCCAGCACAGGCCTGGCCTGGCCTTTGGAGGGGAGCCGCAGCTGAATGTGGCTTGGGCCATGGAGATTTACACACGGGCTCCCTCCAGTGCTGAGATGCGGCTGGCTCTGGGGTGGGGCGGGGGCAGTTTATCCAAGGCTCCTTGCCCAGAGTTGAGAAACAAGGGCTTGGAAAACCCCTGGAACTAAAGGAAACTCAGTTCCCCTGGCCCTGCCCAAGACCTTTGGCTCTGGCCCCCCGACATGTGCACAGGCAGGCTGCTGGGAAGCGGGTTGATCTTGCACAAGAGGAAGTTTCCAGTTGGTGAGTTTGCGCCATCTCCGGCCTTGGCCTCAGTTCCCGGCCGTGCGGGAGCTGCAGAGAGCAGGTGAGCGTGGCCCCTAGACGTGGAGGGAGACAGCTCAGGGCAGACCCCTGCTGGGACTGGGGCTGCCAGGCCTAGTGGTTATAACTCGCGTGTTGGGTGCAGGGTGGAAGCAGGAATTGAAATCTGGGCATTTGCTCTTTGCCCCCTCCCCTGAGAACCTGGTGCTGCCCCTTCCCAGGCCTTCGGAGGAGTCTCTCTTCCTGGCCCCGGGACCCAGGGCTGGAGAAATTTGGTGCCCCAATGATTAGTAGGGGGCCCCTGGCTGGCTGGATCCAGGCAGAGCCCTGCACCTTGGGCTGAGATACGATATAGGGTCCCCCTAGCCAGGCCGGCCCCTGCTTTGGCGAGTTCCCTTCTGCCGGCGCTTGCTCCCCGTTTGGTGTCAGACCGCCTTTCACTGCCCCTGCATTTGGTGCCCCGGGGTTCCTCCCAGGAGCCGTGTGGAGCTGAGGGACCCCAGGGCCTGTGAGTCGGTGACACAACCCACAGCTGGTGCAGCCATTTTAATGCAACAAACAAAACCGCAATTAGCATCGTTTTATACAATCCCTTCTCAAATCGGAGCCACCATCTGTCTGTGTCCGGGATACATGGATGCACCCCCAGAGAAGGCCTCTCGCTCTGGACAAGCACACTAGGGTGTCGATTAATCACAGCTAACGCACTCAATGAACCGAAACATGAGTTGTGATTGAACAATCCCCATCACACTGGTAAACAACAGACTCGTGATTGGAATGTATTATCTATGATGGAGTTTTTGACATTTGGAGTGCATGGATTCGATTACAACACAGAATACAGTGTATGTGCTGTGTCCCCGGTCCCTCGCTGTCCTTCGTTGGGGAGGGAGGGGGTATAGAACATGCTGTCAGATGTCTTAAAGGAGCAGGACTCCAATGCAGAAACTACAGAACCTAAACCGTTCAGAAAAGATCCATCTTCTGCTGGTGGTATCAGACTCAGATGATGCAACCTCTCTGCTTTGGGTTGTTATCAAGCAGAACCTGTCATCAGCATGGAACCACGTCCTCTGGAACAGTGGTCGAAGCAGAAAAGGGTATACTAATGTGTAGCAGATCTGGACCTTGTGATGCCAGCAAGAAAAGTACCATGCGAATGCCCATCCTCACTTTTAGGTGCCATTGTAGATAAGACACAGACAGCATTATCTCCTGTCAATATAACCAGACTGGTGTTTCTGAGCAATTGGCTGAACAAGAAGAAGGACTGAGTGGACTTGTGGGCTCTAAATTTTAACGGAGTTTCATTTCTGAATGCAGTTCCTTTCTGTACATCATTCTACATTTTTAACCTCGACTTTCTTGCTAGAGAGATTGCATTTTGGTGTATGAGCTGCACTGAAATATTCGACTTCTGTTGTTTTTTACAGTGGAAATATTTGCGATTTAAAATCACTATAAAGTGAGCATTGTAGACTTTGTATCCTGTGTTGTTACTGAAATCAATATAGATGAAAATGTAGAAAACATCCAAAATATTGAAAGAAACAATACTCTGTTGTTCAATAGTGCAATTCATCATGTCAATAATCAACAATTAATTTGTGTAACAATTGCTCGACATTTGATAAAAGTGAGCATTATTTGATGTGTCAAAACGACTCTCTATACAACGTGTACCAGTTGCTAGACATTTAATAAAAGTGAGCATAATCTGATCTGTCAAAACGACTCTCTATACAACGTGTATCTATATGTGTCGATATATAACAACACAACAATAAATATACATACAGATGAACCCACAGAGTTAGGTTTATAGCTACATACAAATATTGACCACCATCGATTAAGCATTTCTCCAAAGACTGAACACTTGCTCACATGTTAACATCTTGCTGTCTTTGTGTAACTGCGCCATCTGGTGGACATGAGACCAGAGGAAGGGCACATCTCTTATCTGCACATAGCCATGGGAAATTTGTTCTGACACAGCTAACAAGGAACACAGCCTGCACTCCTCTTCACAAGTATCCTACTGCTAACACCAGAGTCAGCCAGTCCTCTACTCTGGAGCTGGATCAGAGTGATCGCCCCCGAAGGGAAAAGGCCCAGTGTCTCATTCACCCGGGTTAGAAAACCAAGAACTTGCCAAAATATTTAGCTCATAAAAAAGATTTTTTTTAAATTGGAGGTAAAGCCAAAAATGAACATTTTCAACTTAAAAGTAGAAGAAAAAATCTCTTGCAGTCAAACCAAATATACAGTTTTCTGAAAATTTCAGTGAATTGAAAAGAAAAAAAACCCAGTAATTTTGGGTCGAAACAAAAGAGAAATGGTTGGTTTTTTGGTGAACCGAACATAAGAACGGCCGTACTGGGTCAGCATACAAATATTGACCACCATCGATTAAGCATTTCTCCAAAGACTGAACACTTGCTCACATGTTAACATCTTGCTGTCTTTGTGTAACTGCGCCATCTGGTGGACATGAGACCAGAGGAAGGGCACATCTCTTATCTGCACATAGCCATGGGAAATTTGTTCTGACACAGCTAACAAGGAACACAGCCTGCACTCCTCTTCACAAGTATCCTACTGCTAACACCAGAATCAGCCAGTCCTCTACTCCAGAGCTGGATCAGAGTGATCGCCCCCGAAGGGAAAAGGCCCAGTGTCTCATTCACCCGGGTTAGAAAACCAAGAACTTGCCAAAATATTTAGCTCATGAAAAAGATTTTTTTAAATTGGAGGTAAAGCCAAAAATGAACATTTTCAACTGAAAAGCAGAAGAAAAAAATCTCTTGCAGTCAAACCAAACATACAGTTTTCTGAAAATTTCAGTGAAGCGAAAAGAAAAAAAACCAGTAATTTTGGGTTGAAACAAAAGAGAAATGGTTGTTTTTTTGGTGAACCAAATATTTGAAAAAATAGTGTGGGGTCAATCTGAAAATACAACTTGAAAATACTTTGGGGAAACTGGAAGGTGGGGTGGGGGCTGAAATTATATCATGTCATTATGAAAAGGTTCAGGGAACCAGAAAGTCAGAAATAAATTTGGTTTCTGTCAAGCATTTTAAACAGTTTTTAATTCAAAAGGTGAAGGGAAAACGTCAAACCATAGCACGGCATTGGATCAATAAAGTGAAACATTTCCTTTTTGGAAATCCCTAAAGGAAACGTTGGGGTTCCTGGTTTGTGGAATTTGGGGATTGTTTGTCGCCAAATGAACAACTGAGTGAAGTCAAGCGGGACTCACACAAAGTTTTGGTGTTGCTGATTTTGCACCACAAAAACGCTTCTGTGACACTTTGGCCCCGAGGTGGCTGGGAAGGGGCCTTAGAGCCGCTGGACTGGATGGCGTCTGGCAGGGGTCGGTGAGTAGGATCAGCTGGTCTGGTCTGTTCTAGAGGGTCTGGCCCTGCGCTCGCCATGGGGGTAGCTGGGCCCTTGCAGGCATCACAGAGCAAAGTCACAAGCATCAGGGCAACAAACAGATCATCTGCTAATCATAAAATAAGGCAGGCAGCACCCATGTGCTTCATGGACCATGGCTCTGATGGGGGGAGAGGGAGGGGCAAGATACTAGGCTAGATGGGCCCATAAACGTTTTGATCTCGAGGGGCCAGGAGTAGGCGGGATACCAGGCTAGATGGGCCCATTGGCCTCACCCCGGGCAGCAGTCCCCCAGCTGAGGTCTTGTTCTGGGAAAACGTCAAACCATAGCACGGCATTGGATCAATAAAGTGAAACATTTCCTTTTTGGAAATCCCTAAAGGAAACGTTGGGGTTCCTGGTTTGTGGAATTTGGGGATTGTTTGTCGCCAAATGAACAACTGAGTGAAGTCAAGCGGGACTCACACAAAGTTTTGGTGTTGCTGATTTTGCACCACAAAAACGCTTCTGTGACACTTTGGCCCCGAGGTGGCTGGGAAGGGGCCTTAGAGCCGCTGGACTGGATGGCGTCTGGCAGGGGTCGGTGAGTAGGATCAGCTGGTCTGGTCTGTTCTAGAGGGTCTGGCCCTGCGCTCGCCATGGGGGTAGCTGGGCCCTTGCAGGCATCACAGAGCAAAGTCACAAGCATCAGGGCAACAAACAGATCATCTGCTAATCATAAAATAAGGCAGGCAGCGCCCATGTGCATCGTGGGCCATGGCTCTGATGGGGGGAGAGGGAGAGGCAAGATACTAGGCTAGATGGGCCCATAAATGTTTTGATCTCGAGGGGCCAGGAGTAGGCGGGATACCAGGCTAGATGGGCCCATTGTCCTCACCCCGGGCAGCAGTCCCCCAGCTGAGGTCTTGTTCCTCAGAGCGGTGAGATTCTGATTCCTTGTTGGCTCTTCGATGGCTGAGGATCTGCCGGAGCTACACACTGGACCTGTGCACTGGGGATCCTCTGCCCGCCGGCCTGTCCTTCCTCCTGCTTCCATGACAGCAGCAGGGTGTCCTGGGAGAGAAAGAGATTCCGGGGTATGTATGTGGCGCGTAGTGTGGACAGAGAGAGGTGGGTGTCTGGGGATGGCCCGTACAGGGCTGGGTTAGATCGTTGCTGGGGTAGGTGCGTAGATAGATGATAGGGAGGTGGCTAGGTAGGTGGGTGGATTGTTAGGCGGGTAGATCAGTGGGTGGGTAGATGGGTGAGCACGTAGGTGTGTAGGGAGCTGGGTGTTTGGGTAGAGGGGTGGGCTGATGGGTCGATAGGTCGGATGGGGCCAGCCGCGGATTTACCGTCTGTAATAGAGTCGGGTGAGGTAATAGGCCAGGAAGAATCCAGTCACCATGAAGATGAATTTGCAGCTGATTTCGGTCAGTGTCCGAGTGTGGTCACCTGTGGGAACAGGAACCCTCTGAGACTCTGGGACCCCTGCTCCGAGCCAGCCAGCCCCCGCCTGGAGCCGGCTCACCGCC